TTCTTTCTTTCTTTCTTTCTTTCTTTCTTTCTTTCTTTCCTCTCTCTCTCCCCTCCCCATCTATTTGTTTTTTTTCCACGTTTCTTTCTCTTTTTCTTTCGCCCTTCCTTCCTTCCTTCCTTTCTCTCTCTCCCTTCTTTTCCCCTCACTCCCTCCCCCATCTATTTGCTTTCTTTTTTCTTTTTCTCTCTTTCTACCTCTTTCATTCTTATTTTCCACCTCTCTCTTAGACAAATAAATATCATTAGCAAGCAAATATTGTTGGACAAATAAATATCATTATCAATATCACCTTTCTTTCTCCTTTTCTCCCTTCCTTCCTACCATCCTACCTCCACCCTCCCTCCCCATCTTTCTTTCTTTCTTTCTTTCTTTCTTTCTTTCTTTCTTTCTTTCTTTCTCTTTCTTTCTTTCCTCTCTCTCCCCCCTCCCCAACTATTTGTTTTCTTTCCACGTTTCTTTCTCTTTTTCTTTCGCCCTTCCTTCCTTCCTTTCTTTCTCTCTCTCCCTTCCTTTCCCCTCACTCCCTCCTCCATCTATTTGCTTTCTTTTTTCTTTTTCTCTCTTTCTACCTCTTTCATTCTTATTTTCCACCTCTCTCTTAGACAAATAAATATCATTAGCAAGCAAATATTGTTGGACAAATAAATATCATTATCAATATCTGTTTTTACCCCTTTTGTTTTTATTTTTCGCTGTATCATTGAAAGTTAATAAAAAGCAAATCTGCATATTTTCCAGTAAAAATATGTGTGTAATATTCGTTCATGTCTTGCAGCTCTCAAACATCTCAAATTTATACTATGTGGCTCTTACGTTAAGCAAGTTTGGCCACCCCTGCTCTAGATGACTTCTTGATGTATGCTATGTTAAAACAAAGCCAGAACCAGTGATGTTAATATGTCAAACAAAGGAAATATCACTGATTGGAAGTTATGGAAAAAAAAACAGTGACTAATGGTTTCTTCTTCCAGTAGTTACTTATATTATTTTCTAGTCTCAATATATATGTTTTGTAAAATTGTAGCCCATATAATCATATTTGTAGATAAAGAAAGCTCTGGTTCTGGGTTTTCCCTAGGGTTAATTACTGACCTGAATGCATGTTCCAGTGCACTCCTTGCACAGACTGCAAGACAAAGCCCATCTGCTTGCTGGGATATGTGAAATCTTTGTAATGGGTTCCATTTTTTCAGGGCATCCAATGCTAACCTGAGCACAGCACAAGAGCAGACAGATTAATGGCTTTCATACATCTCCTTAAAGAACACTGAAACAATTCTGCCTCTTGTGGTACCTATCATAAATATGTATATATTGTGGCAGTCAACTGGGGGAGAAAAGGCATTAACTTATATCTCAACTGATGCCAAAAGAAGTCAACATCTTTTTCATGTAATGAGCCCACTCCATTCTCCAGGGATGCATTTACATGTGAAATGTAACCTGTAATCCAAACTTCCATTGCTGAAGTTGCCCCCAGGAAGCTGCAGCTCTACACACTAGGAGGGGCCATGGCTCAGCACTAGATCATTTGCTTTGCATGCAGATGGTCTCAGGTCAAACTACCAGCATCTTCGGTCAAACAAAAACGAATCCAACAGGTAGTGATCTGAAACACCTGTACTGGAAACCCTGTAAAAACACTGCCAGCTGCTGACCTTGAAAGAACAAAGGTTTGACTCACTATAAAACAGCTTTGTGTGCTTATGTGAATGCCTGGGACACATGTACATTCTCACTGTGAATATATCCCAGAATGAATTGTAGCACATTGTATGCAGATTCTGAAAGTCTGAAATGGCTCTTAATGAGCATACAGTGCTCAATGGCGCTAAGATTTTGAAAATTCAGGCTTTCTTACATCCTCTTCTTTTAATTCAACTTTTGATTTAAGTGACAGGAGCTGATTACTGAAAGCACCTTGTACAATCAAATCAAACAGTATATTGGGGTAAGTTGTGTTCTTACCTTCTATAAAACTATTAGCGATCTGTGGATACTTAAATCCATGTATTGGGGCCACATGGACACTAAACAGATGTTTCGGCAAACTCAGGAGATCCCCTAGGTTTGGTAGAAAAACCTGCCTTTAAAAAAAACTGTGTGTGTGTGTGTTAAATTTCCACCGAAATAAAAAAGCATTTTCTGCACAAGTGCAGAGAACACACCTAGCTCCAGCAGTACAGCAGGCAGGGAACCGTGTTGGACCTGGCAGTGCAGGAGCAGCAGGCCGGGAGGGAAGACTCTGCTGGTTTGCCCAGAACTTTTGCGGGCAAACCACAGAGAGAGATGGGGAAGGAGACTATGCTAGCTTGCCTGGAGCTGCTCCTGGTGAGCTGCAGAGACCAGCGGGGGGGAGGGAGAGGAAGACTCTGCTGGTTCACCCAGACACAAACCGCCAAACGTAGCTATGGGGGGGGGGCCTTGGTGGGCCTGCCCAGAGCAGCTCTGGGTCAGCTCCTGAGGGTGGCTATGGGGGGGGGGGGGGCGTGGGGGGGGGCATCCCCCAGCCACAAACCGCCAAACGTAGCTTTGGGGGGGGGGCCTTGGTGGGCCTGCCCAGAGCAGCTCTGGGTCAGCTCCTGAGGGTGGCTATGGGGG